CCCCCCCCCAAAAGGCGGGCAAAAATGTCTGTGCGTCTTACGGAGCGAATCCCTATCGCCCGACGCCCGGGACATGCAGTTTCGGGTGCCGGGCGAGTAGTGTTTGTGTACATTTAGCCCTGCTCCTTACGAGCAGACCTAAATGTACAGTGGGAGCCACTGCTCGTTTAATACAAGTGATCTAATCAGATCACTTGTATCAAATCGAGCGGCGGGGGCGATCGTGCCTGGCCCACCCCCTGCTGGGGTTTTTGGGGGACCCGTGACCACGGCATAGGAGCTCACCTTAGAGCCCGTAGAGCAGACGAAGAACGTCTGTTTTTCATCTGCTCTGTGTGATCACTGAGACCGTGGTGCTGTAATCACAGAGCCACCTGTCTCAGCTGTCACTAACTGCAGCTGTCACAGAACCCTTATGGAGCGCAAAATCCGGTACATTTATTTAGGAAGAAAAAAAGTACTGCTTAGGCACAATTAACATTTCTAGATGTTCCAATAAGGCAGCAAATCTTCACTTTTTAAGTTCAGGTCAAGATTAAGTTTGAATAGCCAGATGTATAGGCAAGTGTATTCTCATTAGAGGGGTTGCAGGTGTTTCCAAAATTATAACAGGACTGTGTTTTAATGTAGTCATTTAGGATACAAATAGTGCTTAGTTCAATTATTTAATTATTGTTTATGTTTTGATCAGTAAAGTGACTTTGTCTGGATCTTCTTCCTTCTCCTTTTAGGAGGTAACCCCAAAGGAAAGTTTGGCCTGGGACTCATACAGAATGAATGGAAAGTTTATGTCAAAAGGCCGTTAGATCGTGAGGAACAGGATACATACTTCCTGAATGTCACCGCAACAGACGGCCTTTTCGTCTCTCATACTGTTGTAGAGGTTTATGTAGCTGACGTCAATGACAACAGTCCTGTGTGTGATCAGGTATGTAATAAATCTGTATGTTTTTTTCTACTTTTATACTTATGTTTGATTTTGATGCATGTGTTTTGAGGGAGTCTGCCGAGAACTGTTAGATGTGGGCAGTACCACTATAGTCTTTTTCCTCTTCTTGTGTGGTAAGATTAAAAGCAAGAGGCACTTGGGAGATAGGTCCATAGATATCCATGAAATATAAAAGCACAGACAGTTTTTTATGCAGGCTCATAACATAGCAGTTCGCCTGTGGAATACAGGTAAGTGTACATTTGAGGAGAAGAAAATTGATCATGACATTCCAGGTTGTGGCAACTTTTCTTGTTTATAGAATAGCTTCTTGTTTATCGACATGTCTCGTGTTGAAAATTGACCAAAGTTCACCAGACCAGCATCCAAGCATTGAGCCTGTGATGAGCCATGCACCTCCAGCGGTAGACTTATCTTCTTATAGATTAGAGGAGGAGGGGGAGGGTGGGTTACTATAGTTTGATAATAGCAGAAAGGATAAGTGCGCATAAAGTTTTTCTAAAATGCTTGCATTTCGTTTATGTGGCCACGTTAGTTGTTTATAGTACTTATAGTCGTTCTTCTATGTGAGTTTTTTAGTGGCTTTCCTTAAATGTTCAACAATATTGAAAGCACTTCCTTTCTCCTACAGGTTATAAACACAGCATTGTTTCAAGAAGACATCCCTCCCAATAAAATGCTTCTTAAAATCAGTGCCAAAGATGCTGACATGGGAACCAATGCTGAGATCCATTATTCTCTCCATGGACCTGGTGCTGACAGTTTTTATTTAGACAGTGAAAGTGGTAAGTTGGCATGCAAAGGCCCAGCTGCTCTGTAAATCTTTTACTTTAGCTCTGTAGCACAATTTTCCGGATTCAGCCCAGAAGACTGATTACATACTGTTTGTGCAGGGTGCCAGGGACCCCTAAAGGGGCATGACCATGGCACCCTGCCCTCACTGATGTCAGTGCTGCTCTGTACACCATGAAGGACTGCCCACCATTGGAGAAGAGGCAAAAAGGACCCAACCTGTCATATAATCAACCTGATTTATTCAATAAAGATTGAAATAAACAGTAAGTGGCCTTGAGGGAGTAAGGGGGGCTTCTATACTTTGATATGATATTCATGGCATCACTTGAGTTCAACAAGTACAGTAGCATGAGTATCTGCATAAAGACATGTTATTAAGAAAAACTGGAATAAAGATTGAATGGAAATTCAGTTCTGAATCCTTCTTTTAAACAATGCTAACAGGTCCTTAGTCCATTTTTAATACGTATATTTCTTTAGTGCTTTTTAACTGATCATTGCACAAAACTGGAAAAGGGGGTTTGTAAAATAGATGCAAACCAGACTAAATAAAAGGAATGAAACCCAGAGAACCCAACAGTTTTCTTCTACTGCTTAACAGCTACATTGTGCAAAGATCAAAACTAGCCGAAAGAAGAATGACAACATGTATTTAGAAGAGAAAATGCAAAGTATTGTGAACCGACAGATATAAGAACTGATATTCTGCTGCAGTTCCCTTCCTGCTTTTTAGAAAGAGGAGAAAAGGAAATGTAAATTAAAGAAGTGAAGTAACAAACGTGTACACATACCTTGAGCGGTTAAACACAGGTGAAAAAAATTGTTCCATTGAGATCATTTATTTATTATGTTATTGTATAATGTAGAGCCCAATGTACACTATTTAGCCAAATTATTGAGTTCAGTTGTTTCCAGTGACAATTGTGCATTTGGAACCTTATAGCACAATTTTTGGGGAAAGCTCTTTTCTGTCCCAGAATGACTGTTCCTGTAAAGAAATGTCCCAGTTCCTTTTAAAGACATGCTCTCATTAGTTTAGAAAGGAGGAACTTAAAGTGACAGTAGACTCAGGAGTTAAGTCCTAAAGATTCATTCAAGTACATTGACCTTTAACAAAAGCGTATCTTATTTGTGCACCACTTCTCTGTAGATTCTCAAATCATCTCTGAATATGTGCTGACACTGTCCTTCCTTCTGGAGTGTGGCTACTTTTGTTCCCCATGGTCCCTGTGTGTGTTGTAAAGTAGTCACCGCTCCAAGTTCGCTCCTGTGATGGACTACAATCTCATTACAAATCAGTAAACTAAACATGAGATTGTAGTCCATCACAGGAGCGAGCTTGGAGTGGTGACTACTTTACAACACACACAGGGACCATGGAGAACAAAAGTAGCCCCCCTCCAGAAGGAAGGACAGTGCCAGCATCAATTCAGAGAAGATTTGAGGATCCACCGCTGAGTGATACACAAATAAGATACATTTTTGTTAATAGTTAAGGTACTTTGGTGGTTATTATAGCCCACAGATTGAATAATAGCTTACAATGCCAGGCTGCTGTAAACAAAGCAAGTAGAGTACTGTCTTGTATTAAGAAGGGGGTGTACTGTAGAGACAAGTCTATCATTTTGCCACTTTATAGATCGCTGGTTCGACCTCATCTAGAGTATGCGGTCCAGTTTTGGTCACCAATCCACAGAAAGGATGTCCTTGAGCTGGAAAGAGTCCAGAGGAGGGCAACCAAACTAATTAAGGGGATGGAGGACCAAAGCTGTGAGAGAAGGTTACTAAATTTAAATATGCGGAAGTAACACGCTGGAAGTAAGGAGATTAAGGGGGGACATGATTTTCATGTACAAGATGTTCAATGATGATAGTAACATCAGCAACAAACTCTTTATGGTTAACTCCATAACAAAGACTAGAGGCCACCACCTAAAATTGGTGGATAAAAAATTTCAGCACAAGGGTCGAAGGGGCTTCTTCTCAGTTAGAGCGGTTAGGGTCTGGAACTCGCTGCCGCATGCAGTGATTTCAGCTAAGAGTGTTGAATCATTCAAAAAGCTTTTGGACGATTTCCTCAGAGACCATAACATGCATGGGTACAGGTACACTTAAGAACAAGATCAAACATGGACTCATACACACGCAAACACATGCAGAATCACATACATACACGCAATAGGTTGGACTTGATGGACCTAGGTCTTTATTCAACCTCAAATACTATGTAACTATGTACTTGAATGAATCTTTAGGACTTAACTCCTGAGTCTACTGCCACTTTAAGTTTCTCCACTCTAAACTAATGAAAACACTTCTTTATTATTTAGATACTGGACTTTATTTGGAATGTCGTACAGATATTGTTCCGCACCTGGTTTAATGTTTATGCACACATATACTACTCTGAATGTATGGTTGGATGAATATTGAATGTTTATTACCTTTTAGGTATCAATATCAATACATATAAAAGGCAGTACATATTCTTTATTGACTTTAGGTATCAACACAATCATTTTTATAAAATAGGGTTTATTAGGTACAGCGCAGCACAATTGAATATATAGTGTTATAGCTGCAATAAAAAAAAGTATTCTCCATTTGGGTGAGTGGGTGGGGGTCTGTCAGTTTTCACAGAGCTGTATTAGTGTTCATATATTGGCCATTTTTGTTAAAGCATCAGTTAAAACAGCAAGGGAATGTGTATCATTCATACAAGTCCTTATTCCTTGCTTGTTTGTGAAGGCTGTGGAAGTATCTATTGCATCTAGTGGAACATGTTCACATTATATGTGTATATAAGACTGTTAAGGCTGGTTCTGGTCTTTGGAAAAAAATACATGCACCAAGAAATTGTCTTTCCTTAATTGCTTTTGTACATAGAATGCAGGAACAGCTTTAAGTTTAAGCACTGTTCTGATTAAGCTCCAGATAGGGAATGTGGCACATGTCACACTGATAGCTGCTGTCCCGTTGTACTTGCATTTAATGGCTCATGTCTCCAAACATCTGCAGGTGAATTAAAAACATTGGCCCCTTTGGATCGAGAGAAAACGCCGGTCTACCATCTAATTGCCCGAGCCACAGATGGAGGCGGAAGGTTTTGTCAGTCGGAAATATGCTTAATTCTTGAAGATGTCAATGACAACCCCCCGGCATTTTCATCCAACTACTACAGCGCCAGCGTCTATGAAAATACCATCACCAAAGCATTACTAACTCGGGTGCAGGCCAATGATCCTGATGTTGGTGAGTAAGCCACCACCATAACGTCTCATGAACACCAATTATTGCCTGTGATATTTTATTGAAAATTGTTGATAGTTATTGAAAAAAAGAAAAAATATGTTTCTTAGCTGGTCACAGGGATAAGAAAATCTATAATGTCAGGGAGTGGTAACAAAAAAACAATCATACTTCTTTTTTTCTTTTTTTTTGTTTGCCCTTTTTTATTGAAGTAATTTAAATAGTATCTTTAAAGCTGTTCAAAACAGGTGTTTTTATGTGCATAAATTATTATTATTAATATTATTATTATTATCATACAGGATTTATATAGCACCAACAGTTTGCGCAGCGCTTTACAATATAAGGAATGAGCAGTTTATCATACAAAAATTGTGGCTTTTTCTTAGAAGAACTTTTTTCTGTACAACTAGTCCTTCTATCAGTGTCTACTGTGCAAGTGCTTCGGGTCCTATCAGTTATCTCAGCTGTATGTCATCTGACCACCTCTCTCAGCCATCCCCCGTGCCTAAGACATAGTTATATAGTTAAGACTGAAAAGAAAGTCCATCCAACAGAGAAAAAATAAATAGAAAAGCTCCATAAACAGAACCCTATGCTCACAGGCACCCACCACTGATTATTTTACTTATTTGTACTGAGATTGTAGTCCATCACAGGAGCAAGCTTGGAGCGGTGACTACTTTACAGCACACACAGACAGACCATGGGGAACAAAAGTAGTCACCCTCCAGAAGGAAGGACAGTGTCAGCACCAATTCAGAGATGATTTGAGGATCTACAGCCGAGTGATACACAAATAAGATACTTTTTTGTTAGTAGTTAAGGTACTTGAATGCATTTTAAGGTTTAACTCCTGAGTAGTGTCTCTTTATTATTATTATTATTATACAGGATTTATATAGCACCAACAGTTTGCGCAGCGCTTTACAATATAAGGAAGACATTACAATCACAATACAATTCAAGACAAGATGGTAAGAAGGGCCTTGCCCGTGAAGGCTTACAATTTAACAGGGAGGGGAAAGTGATACATGAGGAGGTAGCTGTGTGGGAATGAATTATTTGAGAATGTGATGGTTAGGTTGAGGTGGGATAGGCTTCCCTGAAGAGATGAGTCTTAAAGGATCACCTAAAGGCAGTCAGAGTGGGAGATAGTCAGACTGTTTGGGGTAAAGAGTTCCAGAGGATGAGAGAGACTCTAGAGAAGTCCCGGAGGCAAGCATGGGAGGAGTTGACTAAATGAGTGAACAGACCAACCAACCTTGTGTGAATGAGCCCTTAATGTGACTCTATCATGACTATTAAAATGGCCACAATGAATACCCTTCAAAGAAAGAATGTATATACTTACCTTTCCTTTTGCTTGCACTGCTGAATGTCTCTTGCAAAGGAATCACCTCCCTCAGCTCCCCCTGGTTTCTCCCCATCTGACCTCCAAGACACATTATTAGTGTTGTGAAAGTCAACAGAAGGAATTGGTCAGTGCAGCAGGGAACTCAGGTAATCAACACTCCTGGAAGGGTCAGTTTCTCAGTATACTTCCAGAAACCATTCACATTAATTGCAGTGGCACAGAAGCAGTATTTACATTCTTCTTTTGTTTTGCCCATTTTGATAGTGCAGAATGACAGAGTAACTCTAGATAAAATATATTATTAAATTAAAACACTTCAACTCTGCAGCACTGGGGGTCCCCAGTTCAAATCCCTGTCAAGGCACTATCTGCAAGGAGTTTGCTGTGTTCTCCCTGTGCTTGTGTGGGTTTCCTCCGGGTACTCTGGTTTCCTCCCACACTCCAAAGACATGCTGGAAGTTTAATTGGCTCCTGTGTAAATTGGCCCTGTGTGCGATAGGGACCTTAGGTTGTAAGCTCCTCAAGGGCAGGGACTGATGTGAATGAACAGTATGTGTAAAGTGTTGGCTCTGTATAAATACCTGTAATAAATATAAAAAAACTGGTGCAGGCATATAGAGGTACAGATACCTGAAGCAGTCTCCCAAGCCTTCTTCTCATCGCCAAAACCCAGTTGCTTCTGACAGATAAAGCTAAAACACTTACGTACTCTCAGAGCTAGCCGCTAAGCCCTTAATGTTCCTATTGACCCATCACTATAACAGATTGCCTCTCTAGCCAATGGGAATGTGCAGGAGGCATCAGAAAGCACAGAGGCTTTATCTATCAGAATCAGATGACCTTTGTTTGAGGGTCTGCTGGAGACATGTACACTTCTAGATGTCTGAAGTTCATACCTGTAGTACGTAAATGGAATTTACTCTTTTATTTATTTTTCTAAAATTACTTTGCTGTAACATCCTTTTACATTCATTTGTAGTGTATTGCAGTATAATGCATCCAGCTTCAAATCTGACATGTAAGAGAATCTGTCACTCTCACACTGTTTAAAATGCACTGCGGCAAGCTTCTTCTTATCTTAAGACTTTGAAAGTGTTGGGGAGGGCTGGAGGGAGGGAATGGTATCGATTTTTTTTAATCACAATTTAATCTTTACTTCAAAAAGTAAAAAAAGGTGCTTCCTCCCATCCACCTTTCTTGGGAGACCAGATTCATCAGGATACTTGATACTTCCATTGGAACAATTCTAACTGTGTGTATAGCAAAAGCAATACAAACTCTAAAAAGATATGGAGCAGCAGAGTGTTTCTTCTTTCCACGCTCATTCAGTATATCTGCGTTTCTATTTTCTCTCAACTCGGGTTTCACTTTATTTATTGCTAGTTGCATAGAAGATATTGTTCACAGGAAAAGTAGTATTTGAAGGAGACTGATTTACACATCTGAGATGATTTTTTATTGATCAGATTAAATTAAACTTATTTATCAAAGTGTCAGCAGGAAGGCAACTATTCTCCCTTAACACTTTGTTTCTACTGAAATATGGCTTGGTGAAAGGGGGAACCTGGCTGGTTGTTGCTATTATCGAGGAAGAACAGTGCTGTCATCAGTCACTTTATTACAAGGAAGATCCAGCTGTTGGTTGATTCCTATCAGCAGATTTGTTGGACTTTCACCAGCAGTTGAATTGAGTTCCTTTGTAGAACACCTTCAAATTGGCCAATATTTCTAAAAACCTTGGCCACATCTCTATCTCTCTCTCTCTCTCTCTCTCTCTCTCAACTCTTCTGGGAAGGCGTCCACAAGGTTTAGGAGTGTGTCTATGGAATTGTTTGACCATTTGTGAGGTCAGGTACTGATATTGGACAAGAAGGCCTGGCTCTCAGTCCCCGCTCTAATTCATCCCAAAGGTGTTCTATCGGGTTGAGGTCAGGACTCTGTTGTGCAGGCCAGTCAAGTTCCTCCACCCCAAACTTGCTCATCCATGTCTTTGTGGAGCTTGCACTGGTATGCAGTCATGTTGGAAAAGGAAGGGGCCATTCCCAAACTGTTCCCACAAAGTTGGGAGCATGAGATTGTCCAAAATGTCTTAGTATGTTGTGGCGTAGTGGTCAGCACTTCTGACTTGCAGCACTGGGGGGTCCCTGGTTTGAATCCTGGCCAGATCACTATCTGCAAAGGAGTTTGCATGTTCTCCCTGTGCTTGTTTGGGTTTCCGCCCACACCCAAAGACATGCTGGAAGGTTAATTGGACCTTGTATGTATGCTCCTTAAGGGCAGGAACTGATGTGAATGTGTAAAGCGATGCATAAATTGTCTATGCTGTATAAATACCTGTAAAAAGATGGATCAATATATAAGATTAGATTAGAGATAAATAACTTGGGTCACATTTTTAGATAATTTGTTATAAATGAAATAGATTTAATTATAGATAATTCGATCAGGCAGATATAGATTAGATTGATATAATAAATAATTAAATTAGTTAGTTAATTAAATTAGATATATCACCAAATGTTTAATACATAAGCTAAGTTGATTAGATAGATAGATAGATAGATAGATAGATAGATAGATAGATAGATAGATAGATAGATAGATTAGATTATAAACAATTATATTAAATTAAATATTTAGATTATATTAATCAGATGATTATTTATACCACCATTATGCAATGCAGTGCTTTTTTATGTCCGTAGCCCTTTTCATGTCAGTTTCTGTGCTGTAGGAGTTTAGTGTGCGATGACCAAAACCTACAGAACTACAAGCTTAGAAGCCACTGACCCTACCAGGAGTTAGTGTCCTTGGAGGAAATGAGCACAGAACCCCAAAACTATAGGGCAGTGATGCTTCCTAACTAGCCACCATGCTGCTTATAGTGTGCCCCATCTGAGTATATATGAACCAGTGGACCTTCCTACTTCCATGTCAGAGATATGTGTAGGCAGTATTCAGTTATAAGGTATTCAGTCATCGGCATACAGTGAATGAGGTGGGCACAGACACAGTACTGAGAATGTAATTTCCTGAATTGTAACGAGTTTCTCTTACATTTGCATGGCAAGTGATAAATGTGATAATTGGTGTATCTGGTGATTCCAACAGCTTGTTAGGCCCCATTCACACCTAGGCGTATTGTAATATGCGCGTCTGTCACGCGGTTTTTTACCGCGATTCGCGGTAAAAAAAGTCGCGCGACCGTCGTGCGATTCCAAAGCCTACTTGGCTGTATCCCAATGGAAAACGCCCTACAAAACGGCTCAAAGTAGTCCCGGGACCTTTTCAGGCGTGGGCCGTTTTGTAGGGCGTTAGGGACGGGCGGAAATACGCCCAGGTGGGAACGAGGGCATTGACTACAATGCTATTTATTTTTTCGACCGTTTTGTAGCGCGTTCGTCGAGCGTAGGACGCACTACAAAACGGTCAGGTGTGAACGCAGCCTTACGCTCTTTTTTTAATTGGACTCAAATTGACTACTTTTAAGTTGATCACTATGCTAGAAAACATTCCTGCACATATTCCAATAGAGGAATATTACAAATATTTGCTAATAATTGTTCTAAAAACACAAAGTAATTCCTACTTCAGCAAAGTTCTGCTTCATATGTCAGACAAGTTATGGACTGGAGCTATAACGTCT